GGGATGGGACAGTACCCCGATTAGTCCATGGCCGGAACCTTCCATATCCTTTATAAATCATCGCCAACTGTCAACCTATCGCCCGACAGTATTCAGTCCCGACTGAAAACGTGGTTAAATGACCTACAAAGTACGGCCATTCCTCGAAGTTGGGTACTTAGCTAAGGTAATTAGAATGGCTTTAGTTAGGTTTAACTCTCTAAGCATTGATTCTGAATAGGAACAGGCCATAGAGCCTAATTCGTCAAGGCAGAAGAAGGAGACGAAGAAGAAGAAGAAGAAGAGAAAGGAGAATGAGGAAGAAGAAGAGGAAGTAGGAGGCGGAAAGAAATATTCTACTATAACACCAGAAAATTAGGATGACCATGCCACTCATTATCCTTATCCCATTATTTCTGCTAGTTACCCATAAATGATAGTTTTTAACATAAAACCCACGATGAATATGTCTTACTGACTTTGTAGTGAATTACTAAAAATTGCAGTTTCTATCACTTTGGAAAGAAACAAGTGATGTCTGTTACAGTATAAATGACTGTCAAATACGATAGCCCTCATGAAAACTGTCTTATTTCTTTATTTTATATGAGCTCTGAAATAATGGAGTCACAATTCATGTACAGGGCCCGATTTAGTATTTCTGCAACTGAGTCACCGTGCATCCACACTGCCTCACTTCGTATTGTTACTACTGAGTCACTATGCATCTACGTTGCCCCACTTTGTATTGTTGCAACTGAGTCACCGTGCATCCACACTGCCTCAATTTCTATTGTTGCAACTGAGTCACCGTGCATCCACACTGCCTCAATTTGTATTGTTGCAACTGAGTCACCGTGCATCCACACTGCCTCACTTCGTATTGTTACAACTGAGTCACCGTGCATCCACACTGCTTCACTTCGTATTGTTACAACTGAGTCACTATGCATCTACGTTGCCCCACTTCGTATTGTTGCAACTGAGCCACTATGCATCCACACTGCCCCACTTCGTATTGTTGCAACTGAGTCATTATGCATCGGCATTGCATCACTTTCTATTTTTATAACTGAGTCACTATGCATCTCCGTTGTCCTAATTCGTATTGTTGCAACTGAGCCACTATGCATCCACACTGACTCACTTCGTATTGTTGCAATTGAGCCACTATGCATCCACACTGCCTCACTTCGTATTGTTGCAACTGAGCAAATATGCATCCACACTGACTCACTTCGTATTGTTGCAACTGAGCCACTATGCATCCACACTGCCTCACTTCGTATTGTTGCAACTGAGTCACCGTGCATCTACATTGCCCCAATTCGTCTTTCTACAAGTGAGTCGTTACTTCGTACTGTTAGAGCTGAGACACTACACATCTACACTGCCCGACTTCGCACGGATCTGACCACGAGACTCCTAAACACATGGAAGAGACAACTGTATTCTAAATGCAAGTTATCAGTTTGGTTTCTGAAGTGAAAGGAGTGGAGTTGGTCTGTTCGATGGAAATTATGTGGTCGGAGAACATCTGCATAGTTCGCAGTTCTCTGTATCTCTCGGGAAAGAGGCAAGTGAGGCACTGAATTCGGTTTCGAGGAGCCTTGTAGGGGTCCCCCGTGCCGTGGTCACTGTTAAACTGAAGGATCTTGTGCAGCAATGACATAAGAACCACAGATGTTTATTTAACGACGTTATCAGTGGCGAGATATACAGTTCCCGTTACTTATTCATGGAGCTGAACCCTTCTTGAGGGGTCGCCAATTCTCCAGTATCTGGAACCCGAAGGTTCATTATCGTGTTCACAAGAGCCCTCTAGTGGTCCCTATCCTCAGTCAGATCAGTCGTCTTAATTTCTTCCTGAATCATGTTTTGATTTGTTAATTTAACAGATGTAAAAAGAAGTGAATAGGTTACATTTTTAGCAACTTTATATTGTAAATAAATCAGTTGTTCATCTCTATGTGAAATCCTGTTTGTACTTATATATATTCCTTTTCCGAGAAAGAACACAATTTAATCCATGTCCTCACACAAGAGTTCCTTAATATACATTTTAATATTATCCTCGTTTTTATACCTAAGTCTCCGAAACTGTCTGCTTAGACTTTAAGAATAAATGTGTATACATTTGATTGTCTTATACATTACTTACTTACTCATGGAGCTGAGCCCTTCTGGAGGAGCCGCCAATTCTGCAGCTACTCAAGAATTTCCCTGCATTTAATGGAACCCCAAGGTTCATTACCGTGTTCACAAGAGCCCTCCACTTGTCCCTATCCTGAGCCAGATCAATCCAATCCATAGCATCCTATCCTATCTCTCTAAGATTCATTTTACTATTTAAGATTTGAGGCTTTCACGGCGGTGACTATGAAGAAAGCAGTCTTCATATACACGGTGCCAAATCCCAGAAGACTGCTTTCTTCATTTTACTATTGTCCACCCACCTATGCCTTGGTCTTCCCAGTGGTATAGAGACCAAGGAACACAAATTTAAAGCTGTATGTCTTCATATTAAAAGTAGTTTTTCATGAAATATTAATACATCAAGGAAGATATCACACAGCTGAATATGTGGAAAACAGAATTACATATAACGTGCTATTTATATGCGTAACATTCATTACTGAACACTACGACTAAGACCTGCATAAAATCTGGCAGGTATAAACTCACGGTTGTAATATTAAAAAATGGTAAACTTTTCAAGCATTTTATCATCTGTCGCCATGCAAAATTTCACGTACCTTATTTCTGTACTTTATTAGTTATTGCTATTCAACCGAGAGCTGAATACACACTGTACGCCCACCATACTGTTCAAGATTCTAGAAAAGTTACCCTAACGAAAGCTGCAACTCTTTCCAAGTTCTGCTACCGCACGATAATTAAGTATGTCTTTCTTTACCCACGAGAAGAGCGCAGATGTAAAGTCTCTGAAACAAAACGACGAGAGAAATACTCGCAGGGTTTGGGGTACTGACACCGGTGGTTATGAACGCCTTCATCTTCAGGGTCGAACAAGCCTAGCAAAATACGAGCGTGAAAACAGGTGGCAAGCCGACTAGATCCTGAAGATGGAGGTGATATGGTCCTCCGAAACGCCGGTTGAATTTCAAAGAACTACACGGCGTTATATCCCAGAAGAGAGTGCTCTTCAAGGAAATATTTTTAAGTAAGGGGTAGGAAGTAACGGGTGACTGGAGAAAACTGCATAATTGAGGGGCTCAATAATCTTCACTGTCCATCACAAATCACTAAGATGACAAAATGGGGGAATATGAAACAAGGGGGGCCGTAGAACGCAAGGGAAAGGTGAAAATTCATACAAAATGTTAGCCGTAAATCCTAAAAAGAAGACACCACTTTCGCGATCTAGACGTAGATGGGAGAATAATATTACAACGAATTTCATAAGAATAACACGTGAAGGTGTAGGCTAAATTCAGCTTCATCAGTAGCAGGATCTTGCGAGTCGGAAATGAAATTTAGGGTTTCGTGAAATGCGAGGAAATTGCCCAATGGAACGACTGTCAGCTTCTCAATAAGGCCTCTGTTCACTGGATTCGGATGATCAGTTGGTTATTAAGTTAGTTACTTACTTACTCAATTATTTACTTAACTTCGTTAGTTCGCTGGTAGGTTAGTTAGTTGTTTCGTTGGTTGGTTGGTTTGTTAGTTGGTTAGTCATTTACTTGTGTGGTTTGTTTGTTAGTCATTCAGTTGGCTTGTTATGTGGTTGGTTATTTTGTTGATTAGTGGTTGTTAGTGGTTTGTTAGTGGTTAGTTGGTTAGTTTGTTGGTGGTTAGTTAGTTTGTTAGTGGTTATTTGATTAGTTTGCTACTTAATTAGTTTGTTTGTTTGTTTAAGAAAGGGGGAACAATACTTTTTAATTTCAAATTCCCATCAAAATATGATTGGAAAAATACGAAACATCAGATATGCTACTGAATGTCCCTATTATATAAAATTATCTGTGTTCAGAAAGTCAAATTACTTCTACCACAGCGTGTGTGACCTGTCTGCTTGCTTATATTGTTGTGTAAGGCAGGCAGTTGTAACTTTCGATTGTTTTACCGAATTGTAATTCGCTTTGTTCAAGAGCAAAGCTGCTACTCATTCAGCCTAAAACGTTGTCCCAGTACGATAATGCTATATCCTCAGTGGATATGACAGAGTGTTTTTACATTTAGCTACATCACCGTATTGAGCAACATTTCTCTGGTGAAGGTAGTTTCGGCTCTGTGAACAACTAAATCTAATATAAATCGCTTTCAGTTCAATTTACTCTTTGTGACACGGACGTTAACATAACTAATATACTATAAGCAGAATAATAAAATCGAAGAGAAATAGATGAGTATTTTAGAGATGAAAAAAGAGTGCAAATTTTTGGCGTCGTTCCTAAAATGAGGAGCCCACTAGTAACACGTAGATGGGGATACTATTAGAATGGATTTTACACAAATCGGAAGACACCCGGTTTCGAATCTCTGCAGGGACACCGGCTACTCTGAATGAGATTTTTAGTGGTTTTCCTCGGTTCCTTCAGGTACAATACGCGATAGTACCTCAAAATGAGGCTATGACCGCTTCCTCCAAAAATATTCTGAATTAATTTTTCGCTAATCATCCTTCCAACAGACGATATACATTTTGAGTTACAAGCTCGTCAAATAAATCATAAAAACTCAGCCACCATCGAGGGAATATGACGTCTCACAAACTCTATCAAATCGCTTTTAATTTATTGTTTGGAAAGAACAGTTCTTGCAGCCCGACATTACACACACATATATATGTCAGTTCATTTATTTTGGCATTTAATTAACATGTAATTTTACTAGCACTCCAGTGAGAGAAGCGCGTGATACCCAACAACTAACAAAAATACTAAAACGGGCTCCAATTTCACATGTGTACGCATAAGTGAGCGAGCAAGCCGTGAAGGCCTGAGATTGGCTGGGCATCTCTTGGAGGCGTGGCTATGGAGATACTGCCGTCGCGACGCTAGTGTGGGTGTTGGAATGTATATATACTGTAGCGAGTGTTACAGGGAAATTTCTGCGGGAGGTTCTTATCTGCCTGACCTGACATCTCTCCAACCGCCGCCAGGCCACGTGAGTACTCATTCCTTACACGTGTATCTCCAATAAACTTATATCTCAGTGTAACACAAGAATATAATCCGTCCATGTTTAAGAGCTGACATAATATTTTGTTGCCGAAAATGTAAAATATGCTGTAGAATTTTTAATTTAATTCACATTGTGGCAGAAAACAGATGCATTGTCCGTTAAGATTACATATCCAGACGCTTAGTATAGTAAAGCATTACGTAGACCTTCAGCACTGAATGATGATGTCATCATCACCAACATCTGCAAGGGTTGAGCTTGTTAGAAACTTCTGTCCTGAAACATTATGCCATCTTCTTCTTGGCCTTCCTGGATCACGTCTTCCTACTAGTTTATAGTATTAATTTCCTTCGGAGCTTTTTCTGATGGCATCCTCTGGAGATGTTTCAATCAATTCTTCTACCTATCGAGTATTGAAAACAGTATATCTGTCAACACAACAATTCAGGTAAAAGCAATAAAAAGTTATTTACATTAATGTTAATTAAGGCCGCGCCACAGCTCAAGCGGTTAGTCGCTGGCTTCCCACCGCGGCGGCCCGGGTTCGATCCCGGGTCTGATCAAGTGGGATTTGTGTTGTGGACAAAGTGGCGCTCAGGCAGGTTTGCTCCGAGTACTTCGGTTTCTTCTGCCAATCTTCATTCCGCCAATTGCTCCACAATCACCCTCACCTATCATCTGGGGCTGGTACAATAGGCCAGACCACCCCACTAGCAATAAAAAGAATGTTAATTATGACATGTTTCCACTCCTATTGGGACATCAACAGGCGTAACGCTGTGTACTTCAATGCTGAATTTTTGTTCAACACGGATACATATTATTTCTTTAAATTTTACCAAATGCTAATGAGATTATTGCTTAGTAGAAAACCTATACTTCGTAAGATTTGAGGTTTTCAAGGCGGAGACAATGAGGAATGCCGTTTTCTTGGATGTGGCGCCCTGTGCTCACGCTGGTTCCTCGCTAACAGATTTTCTTTTTTCTTCTATCCTGAAGATGGAGGCGATACGTTCCTCCGAAACGTCGGTTAACACAATATCTACATGGCGCCACATCCCAGAGACGGCTTTCTTCGACCTCTAGTTTGTTTACACTTCTGCTTTAAGCCATTTTTGTATAAAATAAAATTAAATTAAATTAAATCACAGCTAGTTGAAAACAAATTTAAATTAATTAAGATTAAAGCTAAGGGATTTTAGTACTACACTCTAATGTATATGGGTTCATATTAAATTGTCAAATAGGCATTCAAAACAATCTTGAATTATTTATTCATAAATATGTAACTTGACAATTTAATATGAACCCATACACAATATGGTGTAGTACTAAAATTCTTTTAAATTTAATCTTAATTAATTTAAATTTATTTTCAACTAACTTCAATTTAATTTAATTTAATACTAATACGACTTAAAGCTGAAAAGTAAACAAAACCAGAGGTTCACTACCACGCAATAATCGCATATGGACACATATGAAGAAAAAATACAGATCCATATTGAACAAAAAATCAGCATCTAAATACAGAAATAATCTGATGATGACCCAATGGGGGTCGAAACATGTTGTGATTAACGTTAATGTAAATAAATTTTGTTATTAATTTTACCTGAATTGTTGTGTTGAGGGATAGGAACACATTATTTTGAATGGCACACAGGAGGATGCAACAGAAAGATTTCGTCCAAACTTCCTCACTCCTAGCTGTGACCTCAGCTCCTTTCCTTGTCTCGTGCAGGATATCCTGCTACGTACCGCGGAAACCGCAGAACAAGCATAATAAAGGGGCAAATATATCCTTGTGCTTAAGCATCACACTGCTAAGAGATATGTTGGCCGGGGCATTTCATGGGGGTGAGGGGTCATCTTTGCACTCCAGCAGCTTTCAATTAGGGAAACTCCCTCTTTATACGAGGCCGCGGTAGCGTAGTTGGTTGAGGGGCTATGCTACAAGCCAGAAGGTCGCGGGTTCAAGTCCTGATGAGGTCATTGGATTTTTGAGTTGACCTAATCCTTCCAGCCGCACTAGGCCCTGGGGTTTACTCAGCCTCTAACAGAAATGAGTATGAGGAATTAATTAAATAATTTTCCTGGGGAAAGGCTGACAACCTTACCGCCATCTATGAGCCGATTGTCTAGATAATGTGGGAGCCTCAACGTCTCACAACCCTATGGGCCTTCACGACCTGGTACAGGGATAACTTTACTTTACTCTACCCTCCTTATACGCATAATACAAGAGGTTGGATATATTCCACAGAAGAACGTGTCTTAGCTGTGCAAAAGAAAAATCCCTGTCGCAGCTGAGAATCGAACCCGGTCGTCCACTACATGCCCAATCAGTTACGTCACCTACAAGGAAACTTGAATATATTTTAATTTAATTTTGTTATTTGTTTCAAATGCCTTCTTTGTGGTCAGAAAAGAAGACTGCAGTCAAATCAATAAAATCTTATACAAACACTTCCTTATTTTAATTCATGTATGATGAATTTAATTAACTAAACGTCAGAACGATAGTAAATATATAAATTTTGCTACAATGCAGTTCAGAAGAAAGTAATTATTAGTCGGCCCATATTTATCTCTACAGTAGTGATAACGCTGCTTTTTGTTGTTAGTTCTTCAAATGTTACAAAATTAAGAATGTATACGTATGAGAATCATAGCTCCGTACACTACAAATATAATTAAAGACATAGAAACTAGGGCACAGATCTAATTATATGCCTGTTCCTTTTGGGGGTATCATAAAACTTACAAAATATCTGTATACAAAACAGCAAAATTCTACTTCCTTAGCTTTATAGTTTTATTTAAAATTCTCTTATTTAATTGCAAAAGAAACTAACATCGGCAACAGTGACACTCCTGAAATTTTTCTGATGAAGATTTGTGTTTAGTTTTGGGATCGAATTATCCTATTATCATAATTATCATTCATCACAAAAATTTCAGGAGTGCCACTCTTGCAACTTTAGTTTCTTTTGCAATTAAATAACTCAGAATTTTATGTATATTTTATAAATAAAACACAAGCTGTTTATAGTGTAAACGTCACTGTTTGCTATCTTATTTGCTGAAAATTACGAATATTTTAGACTCGCCTTTCGTTCGAAAGAAGTAAATACAGTACGTCGATCCGAAAGAAGTAACTTGAAACACACTTTCAGATAGCAATCACTAAAATAAATACAATTATTGCTCTTCTGTTAATAATTTTAATTAGGAATGGCCGATAATTTTTCAAAGAAATATATCAATACGAATTAGAGCCAAACACACAGGAACTGAATTTACTGAACGCAAATATGTTAACGTTATAATAAATATGACGACCCACATTTGTCAAAATTTAACCCATACTCTTAAGCTTTGTCAATAAATAAATATGCCCTTAGCGAAATTTTCGAGGGAAATTTTAGTTTACAACTGAAATATTCCGCCAGTTTCTAGTCTGACTCTGGCCAGTGATTAGGCGTCTATATGTATTTTTCGCTATTCTTTCCTACTGCTATTACAAGAAAGTACATTATTAAATTCGAAGCTAATTAAACGATTAAAGAGAATATCATTATAATTTCTGACTAAGAAATTTTCTCGTAATGGGTTCATTTAGTAAACAGTCCAAAAATTTCATTTCATTGGAATAAAATGTTTTGGTCGTCTCTTACGACACTCTTGAACAAAATTTTTCCATAACTGATGCTCATTTCAGATGCAGTTCCATCAAAGCTTACTCTGCGCTTGTTCTGGACACAGAGATCGATATGCTCTTTCGCCTCAACATATGTTAAAAACAACTGGCCTCCGAGATAATAAATAATTTATTTCTATCCACTAATAAAATTTCCTCTGTTACCTACAGTTATCTTCATATAGAAATTTCATCCTTCCATACAGTTCACTAACTTCTACACCTCCTAACCAAGCAGGTCGGATTACAGACTTTTGTCCTTCTTTCGTTCGTTCTATTAATGGAAGAGCAACACCAAATGTGCCTGTGTGTTAAAACGGTCAAGGTTTACCTATAGCAGGCAGTAGAGGCCCATAGGGTTGTGAGACGTCGAGGCTCCCATATTATCTAGACAATCGGCTCATAGATGGCGGTAAGGTTATCAGCCTCACGCGCAGGCCGGTCTTTACCCCCAGGAAGATTCCTGGTACTCATTTCTGTTAGAGACTGAGTCGACTCCAGGGCCATAGTGCGGCTGGAAGTAGTATGTCAATTGAAAAATCCAATGAACTCATCGGGAATCGAGCCCGTGCCCTTCAGGCTTGTAGCAGAGTGCCTCAACCAACTACGCGTCCGCGTGCCCCCTGTCAGGTGTTACCACTACTGAACATAACCTGAATGCAAGCTAGGTGCTAACAAGCGAAGGTTTATACTGTATATATCGGCCACCTGCTGGCTGCTACAGACATCACTTGAGATAAATTCAGACTACTGTTACTCGCGACTTCCACTCGGTGACGGCTTATCCATTGTGTTGGACAGAGGTGGAAATGGATTTTCATAACCAGCAGAAAAGCTTGGGGAATGTCCTTGACATATTAAAAGAAAATTCCTATGCAAGCTTGAGAATTCATTCCTACAAATATTGTTGCTGGGAACCAGAGCTACTACGCCTTACAGCATTGCAAACAGCTTCCTTAAAATGAAACGCTCCAGAACTACATAGATGGCTTCTATTTTTCATTTTCTACTTCCCCACCCCACCCCGATTTTCAGCCATGGTCTCGGACAGCAGCTGACGCTGAAGCTGTAACAAACAAACAAGCAGAGTAACTCTGACGAGGGGGTGTGGCAGCTCGCTGTATCGGCTCTGTGATATGTACTGTCAGCTTTTGTCACGAAGTTTGTGGAAGTGTACGCATGAGCTCCGAATCCACAATATGCAGATCTGGTTTACGGAAATCTGAAGAGAGTTTACAGGCAAATGAATCGTCCCAGTCATCATTTCAATGAGTACTGT